GACCCCACCCGTGCATGAATTCATACACTGGGCCTTTAGTAAAATAATAAAATGAATCTCTACAAAGGTAAACCATGTGCCCACATGCAAAGTTACATGATTTAAGAAAACGTAAGGTTTAAATTAAACCTTTATAAAATCCAAAAGAGCTAGAATTGTTTCCCTGATAAATATATATCATTGTTGTACCCAGGCGACATATTATAATTTAACAGAGACACAAATTGCTAAAATAAAGAAGTGCTTCATTTTATTTGACTCTTTCAGCCATGAGGTCCAAGGAAATGCAAGTTCTTGGAAATGAGAAATAATACCGAAATGTGGAACAGACCAAGTTTAAAGGTTGTATGGAATCAGCAGAAAGTGGCTGTCTGGCGCGAGTTTTGGCCTAGTTGTTGGCCAAGGCCAGGTGTACCATTTTGTCTAGCCCAGGTAACAATTTCTGTGATAACTATCCAGCGTGAAGAGAGTTGTCAGAGAATAGTGAAGCCCATACAACTGAAATGTTTACAGTACATGAAACAAAAACAGTCAACAACTATTGATCCATCACTTAACTGGCGAATCAGTGTAAATCTCAGTAGGCAGCACTACAAATATCTCTAGTCATTCCTTTATATGTTCACTCATTCATTCATGAAGTCAATGAGTGTTTATTAAGCACCTATGGTGTACCAGGTGGTGCCTGGTTAAATGCTAAAGTTATAAGGATAAAGAGTAAGGCACATACTCTGCCCTCAAGGAGCTCCCAATCTAATCTCACAGAGAGATGTGGAAAAGTGAAAGACCATGCATAAGGAGGTGCTGATAACAAGTCTGTCCAAAGTGAGACCAACCATGAACTGCAGTTTCCATGGTAAAGGCATGTGGCATTCCTCCTCCCTTCAGAAAAACAACTGCTCGACATAGCTTTGATCAGTCTTCCAGTTCCAGGGTGATCATGGGGACCCACAGCATGGGACAAACCATGTATCTCCTCAGTGCTCCCCAGAGGGACCTAATAACCATTCCTGGGTCTGTCGTAACTTGGCAGAGGTTTGGTATTAAGTACAAGTCTCCTTCCCATAGTCCCGCCTTCCATGAATGTCCCTGAGACTCACTTTCCCTCCTTGCTCAACCCGAATTCGGGGAGGTTTTCCCTTTAGCTGCTCACCTCCATGTTACTCTGCTGTTGAAAGGTTTGTGATTTCTAACCAGCACTGCTGAATCCATCCCACCCAGCCATGGCAGAGCATGGAGCCATGAACCAGGAGGTCACGGTCTGAATCCCTGTCAAGGCACATGCCAGGGTTGTAGGCTCAATCCCCCAGTAGGGAGCGTGCAGGAGGCAGCCAATCAATGATTCTCACTCATCTTTGATTTTTCTATCCCTCTCTCCCTCTCCCTTCCTCTCTCTGAAATCAATTTAAAAAAACAACAACATGTATTTTTTTAAAAGTATGCCCATTACAAACTGCCAATCAGCAGCAAAGGAAAAGCCTCTGGCCCTTGTGAGCAAGGCAGAAGTTCAAAACTGAGGTTTGCTGTGGAGCGTTAATGTGTATGGTGGGATTAAGGCTTTTTGATAGAAGCATTTTGCTTATTTAATTCATTTAAAAATCAGTGTCATAGCTAGAGTTCTTTTATTAACTAAATCTTGATGATCACTATAAATTGAAGTGTACAAATGCCCTCATATGAAATTATAGTTTATTCTCAAAATATCCCGAGGTTACTTGTTAGTAAATTCCTCATTTAGTGTATTTCCAGAAATCACTCACACACAAAGAAACAACAAAACAGAATCTGTACAAAAATAAGAGCTCTCCATTTTCCGTAACACCTTATCTTTTGTGTAATGAACTTGTGAATATAAAAAAAGTACCAGTTTAGAAAATTATAAAAACATTGCTAGGTCATAAGTGCTCTACATTCTCTAGGAAAACATCCCTTTGGAAATAGGACAACTATTGGGAATTCTTCATGAAATTCAAGTCCTGGATGTGCCACAGATGCCTGCTTGCTACAGGGCAGCATTCATACCCTATCTGTCCCCTGTGCCACATCTAGAAACTGTCTGCGACTTGCAACGAGTAAGATACCATTCCTCTTTCTTCAGATGTCATTATTAAGTTCTGTGGATATCCTCAGGGTGACACTCTATTAAAAAAAGCAAAGAAAGGTTTAAAAGAAGGTCAGCAATTCCAGTACCAGCTATTCAAGTCCCCAAAGCTTTGCAGCCCCGAAGACATGACCTCACTATGATTTGTGCTAAGCTTGAGTTGACTCCTCAAGAAGTTTCTTGGCTTTTTATATATTTTTAGCTAGTCCCAATTCATTGGTTTCAAAAATGTAAGATTTTTACCTGTGGCCAAATTTAATAAGGTTCCACCTTCTCTCTGCCTTGTGGACATTTTTCAACAACATACTTTTATTTTTTCAAAAGACATATATATGGCCTTGGCTGGGTAGCTCAGTTAGTTAGAGCAGTGTCTCAACACACCAAGGTTGGGGTTTGATCCCCGGTTAAGGCACATACAAGAATCAACTCGTGAATGCATAGATAGGTGGAACAACAAATCGATGTCTCTCTCTCTCTCTCTCTCTCTCTCTCTCTCTCTCAAATCAATAAATAAAAAATTCAAATAAATAAAAAGACATATCTCCAGGGGTGAGGGATGGGTGGAGGTGGGCAAAGAGGGGGAAAATGTGGAACATCTGTAATTGTGTCAACAATAAAAAACAAACAAAAAAATAAAACAACATAAAAAGACATATCATTTGGAACCAGTAAATGAGACCTCCTAAAAAAAAAATCAGGATGTATAACTATAAACATCAAATGGCAGAGGACACTGGAAACTTCATTGTTTGGGAGAGCTGTTAAAGCCGCATGCCTTTGGGAATAAACTAAGTTGCACAATACATATATTTTTCCAAACACGTAATAGTAAAAAGAAAGGCAAATCATGCTCTCATTTTTCATGCAAAAATTTTTCTATGGATTTTTCCAATCCTAATTGTCAGCAGTTTACAACATTGAAATGGTTAAACACCTACCTGGAAATCATGGATGAACGTTAGGAAGTAAAAAATAAAACCGAAGGCCACTGTCCATTCACAGATCGCACTCACCACATGATATGCATAATCCTAACAGCAATGGGAAAGAAACACAATTTAGCCTAAATGGGTGCACTTCAGAGCAGAGGAGGCTGTCCAAGAGCATCAGTCAACCCCTGGAGCAAATACAGCAGCAAGGTTGTGCAGGTGAATGGCAGGTGCCTGCCCAGTTAGAACATGGATGCAATTATTCCCAAAGTACTTTCTCCCTCTTCTATGCTCTGTCTTTAAGACTTGTCTATAGTCCACCAGCCGTGGCTCAGTGGTTGAACGTCAACCTATGAAATAGGAGGTCAAGGTTCGATTCCTGGTCAGGGCACATGCTTGTGTTGCAGGCTCCATCCCCAGTGTAGGGTGTGCAAAAGGCAGCCGATCAATGATTATCTCTCATCGTTGATGTTTCTACCTCTCTCTCCCTCTCCCTTTCTCTCTGAAATCAATAAAAATTTTGGGTTTTTTGTTGTTGTTTTTTTTTTTTAAAAGGCTTGTTTTTGTTTATAGAGTTTCAAAAAGCAAAAGAAGGGCCAAAAAATGTCTGAGACCCGGAAGCCAATGTGGACTCCACAGAAGGCAGAACTTCCCATGCGGAGCAGGACTTGCTCTCCAGAGGCTGGGAATCCCCAAGTTTTCCAAAGTGTACGTATCGAGGGGAAATTGGCTAACTGTCACCACTGGGTTTTGTGGCCTCTGCTGCTACAGAAAATGTCAGTTCAGAAAATAGTTCAGCTTAACATTATATGTAAACATAGCAGCAAAACAAATGCTAAGGAGACATCTGTACACAGTCACTGACTATCTTCTTGGGGGCAGGAAGGAGAGAATGGGCAGCGAGAATGGCTTTCACTGGGGTTCCAAGGGCAGCTGCCTGTGGAAGCCAGGAGATTAATAAAAAATCAGTGGAACTGATAGTTGCAGAGAGAGAGTGAAGTGGGGAGGAAACCCATGCTTATCAGCTCAATTCCATTTTCACCAAATGGGGACATATGACACCAGGGACACCAAGGTTGCTTTTAAAAAGTGAAAACAAAAGTGAGTGTGCGTGTGTGTGTGTGTGTGTGTGTGTGTGTGTGTGTGTGTGATCTCCTGATTTTGTAATGCTGGAAACTTTTTAAAAAGAATTTTTAAGCCCCATCTAAGTAAAAACTAACACCTGCATTTTGACGTTGCCCATTTGCCAAATCAGGCCTGTGGACTGCCAGGTCTGATTTCAAACCATGACCTGTTGCTGCTTTTTGTCCGCCCACCCCCCATGCTTTCTGCTATAGATCACAAGTGTGAATAAACAAATGGTACTGGATTGCAAGTCAGTTCTATGATGATGGTTGTTTTCTTTGATCCAGTTTTCATCCGCAAAGATTAATTGAGGAACATCGAACTCTCAGACACCTCTCCTTACTCTCCCCCTTCCAGGACATCACCATCCACCCTCTCTCCTTATCCAGGTCGAATTGGGGAGAACCTAACCACCTCACACTAGGGCAGCGGTTCTCAACCTGTGGGTCGCGACCCCTTTGGAGGTCGAATGACCCTTTCACAGGGGTCGCCTAAGACCATCCTGCATATCAGATATTTACATTATAATTCATAACAGTAGCAACATTACAGTTATGAAGTAGCAACGAAAAGAATTTTATGGTTGGGTCACAACATGAGGAACTGTATTTAAAGGGCCAGAAGGTTAACAACCACACCACTAGGGGGTAGAGAACAGAAGTTGCCCCCTTTTGGTGACAGAACCAGGGGATCTGCCTCATCCCCTTATCGTCCTGGGACAATAAAGATGGCTTATAAAATTTTGGCAGAAATTTCTTTAGCATGATGTTAATGAAAGTATGCTGAACCAGAAGCCCATACTCCACTACCCATGTGTGAGTACAGGCAAAGCTCTAATTTCCTTGCTCCATAAAATGAGACAGTGAAATTTTAATTCTCACCCTCCCCACCAAGTCAGTCAATGCACAAGTCTGCATTACGAAAGTCCTAAAGCAGTACACATCCGTTTGAGGCAGTACCTAAATACTTATTCCATTTAGTGAATTAATGCAAAGGACTTCCGTTTCATTTATTGATATTGGGAACAGAAGGCAATCTAAGAGTGGCATGGTACTTTATGGAATGAATATAAAAACAGGTAATTTTAACATTTTTAAGATTAAATAAGGAATGAAAAATAAAAAGGCTTTTTAAACAGCCTGGGGATATGCTTTGATGAACCCTTCCCAGCAGCTGATTTTTGTTTGATTTGTGGGGGAAAGTCTCCCCCAAGTGGTTGAAAAGTAAAGTACACCTGAGGCTGCTCTGCTGTGAGGTCTCACTCTCAGGAAGCAATCTATATATATAAAAGCCTAAGTGACCATTCGACCGTTCAACTGGTAGCTATGACGCACATTAACCACGGGGGGCAGCCGCTCAACACAGGAGCTGCCGAGCTGCTGTGACTTGGCAGCTACAGCTCTCGGGTGACCAGCACCCAGAACCAGAGAGGAGGGAGCCCAATTCACTCGAGAACTGCCCTCTCGAAATCTGGGACCCCTTGGGGGATGGTGGGGAGCCGGTTTTGGCCCGATCCCCACAGGCCAGGCCAAGGGACCCCACTGGTGCACGAATCTGTGCACTGGGCCTCTAGTTAGTAGATAAAAGTGGAAAGCACAGGCCAGGCCGAGGGACCCCACCCGTGCATGAATCAGTGTACCAGGCCTCTAGTGTATTATTTGTAAAATTTTTCTGAATCATTCTCTTCCTCAGCATCTTCAGTCTCTCCCTTGTCTTCTGCAGGCTCCCATTGTATGCCAGAATCCTCCTCTAACCACACTCTCCCCTATAGCCTTCATCATCTCATTTCTCCTTTCCCTCTCACCTCCAAATGTTCATGGACAGCTGGATAAAGGAAAGATGCCTCTCACCATTTTTCTAACCTCCTGCAATTGGCCTTTAACTCCAGCATTCTTAACTGAAACTGCATTTTGGATAACATCAGTAACTCCACCTCTCCCTTGAAAAAACGTTCCTAAAAGAGACCAAAAAAACAAACACCCACTCCTGCTATTCTTTCACCAACTCTTCTCTCCAGGGTGTCATTCATTCTCCATATGGCATTGAGATGAACCACTGCTGTAAGTATCTAATGGCACAAGTCCATCTCAAATCTGAACATTCAGTCCTGGGTGTTGTGATCTTTGGTCTGGAAATCTCACTCTACCCTATGCTCTGATGGCTCTCAATCCCACCAGAGGTCCAGTCCCATGTGTGCAACTGGACATTTCTCCTTGATGTTTTACTATAGCCCCAGACTCAACAATTCTAAAAACAAACCCATCCACATCCCCCATGAAATAATCTATCCTCCTAGGGATCTTATCTCTCTCTGTCATGGGAACAAATTCTTTGGTTTGTCCAAGAAGTCCTCTTTGATTCATCATGTTCTTTCATTCTCATGTTAGTCACGTGCCAGTGCTCATCAAATATTTTCCCCCTATTACTCCCAATCAATCTAGGCTGATCTTGATTTGAAATCTGAACTGCCTTCTCTGTCATCCTAAATCTGGGCTCCCTCCTCTTCAATCCATTCTAGGCATTTCTTCTAACTAATACTCATCCAATAATATTCTTTCAATTTACTTCCCTCAGAGGGAAGGGGGAGTGGTGGGAAGAGATTACTCAAAGATCTTTTGCATTACCTATGCACACAGATAATAGGGTGATGAAGGCCTGAAGCAGGGTGATACTCTCAACAATAAAGATTTTTTTTAATTTCAAAAATAATCCCAGGAATCATTTGGGATTACTCCAATAGCTAATTATGACCCATGAATTGCCAAATAGTTGGACAGTAAGTTACTTACTTCATATTTTGCAACTTGTTCTAAGAAATGGCAGTGATCCTTTCTTTCTAAGAAGGCTTCACACAGCCACAGTCTCATACCACCAGTCTTGACACTCATATTGAAAATGACTTGAATTTTACCTTTTCTTGGGGATTCCACTCCAGCTTGGTTATGGAAATCAGTGAAGCACAGGTAATCACTAAAAAAAGAAGAGTGTTAAGGAAAGTACTGAAGAAAATAGGTCCTTTAATGTTAAGACTAGATTATTCTTCTAGTAGTATAATTACACAGTGTTAAACATGTTTTACCTCACACCCATTAGGTTGTGAAAACAAGTGTTGGTGCAGATGTGGAGAAGTTGGAACCCTTGTGCACTGTTGGTGGGAATGTAAAATGGGGCAGCCACTGTGGAAAACAGTACAGAGGTTTCTCAAAAAATTAAAATAGAATTACCATATGATGCAGCAATTCCACTTTGGGGTATACACCCCAAATAACTGAAAGTAGAGTTTCAAAGAGATATTTGTACAGCCATGTTCATGGCAGCATTACTCATAATAGCTAAACGTTGGAAGCAACCCAAGTGTCCGTTGACAGATGAATGGATAAGCAAAATGTGCTATATACATACAATGGAATATTATTCAAGAAGGACATTCTGCAATATGCTACAATATAGATAAACCTTGAAGACATTAAGCTAAGTGGAATAAGCCCATTAGAAAACATAAGTACAATATGATTCCACTTTTATGAGGTACTTAAGTAGTCAAAATCATAAAGACAGTAGAACAGCGGTTTCAAATCCTGGGGAAAGGGGACAATAGGGAATTATTGTTTAACTAGAGACCCAGTACATGACATTCATGCACTGGGGGAGGGGAGGAGGGAGGGCGGGTGGGTCCCTCAGCTCAGCCTGCGCCCTCTTGATGTCCAGGACCCCTCAGGAGGTGTCTGCTTGCCAGGGATCGGGCCTAAATTGGCAGTCAGACATCCCTCTAGCAGTTTGGGACCCCTCGCTCCTTACCGCCCACCTACAGTGGAGGCAGGAGAGGCTCCTGCCACTGCTGCACTTGCCAGCCGTGAGCCCAGCTTCTGGCTGAACAGAGCTCCCCCTGTGGGAGTGCACTGACCACCAGGGGGCAGCTCCTGCATTGAGCGTCTGCCCCCTGGTGGTCAGTGTGCATCATAGTGACTAGTAGTTCTGCTTTGCATATTAGCGTTTTATTATATAGGATAAGTGTAGATTTTGTTTTACAAGTTGAAAAAATTATGGAATGGATGGTGGTGATGGTTACACAACTATGTTATTTAATGCCACTGAACTATACTTAAAAAGTGGTCAAGATGCCCAGCTGGCATATCTCAGTAGTTGAGCATTGACTGATGAACCAGGAGGTCACAGTTCAATTCCTGGTCAGGGCACTTGCCCACATTGTGGGCTAACCCCAGTAGGGGGCATGCAGGAGGCAGCTGATCAATGATTCTCTCTCATCATTGATGTTTCTCTCTCTCCCTCTCTCTCTTCCTCTCCAAAATCAATTAAAATATATTTTAAAAATCGAAGAGATATGTCCTACACCTGACCTTGAGGCCAGCCTAATAATGCCAGGCACTGAGTCTATTGCCCTCCGTGGACAGCAAGGTCTGCACAAAGACAGTGACATCCATTTGATTGAACTTTGAAGGCAAAAGAGAAAGAGAATTGAGATGCTCTATAAAAAAGTTAAAAATTCAAAGTGTTGCCTCAATGCCAAGTTTAGAGCCTCCTCTAAATTCAGGGTCAGCATCTCCTCTCCTTACCTCCAACCCCCATAGTTTGCAATGCTGAGCACTTCTCCATTTTTTAAAATAAAGCACAGCAGATTATCCGACCCTTTTATGACCATACTTCTGTTCCTAATAGTTTTAAAGCCTCTTAATTCTTTCGTTTATTTGTTTTTTAGTTCTGGGCACCTGGTACCATGCTGCAGGGGGGAAAGGAAGAGGTGGGGGAAACCCTGGCTAAATGGATTTGGTCTCAACTCCCAGAAACCTCACAGTCTTGTCGCAGGAAGCCCAGGGTTGTGCCATATGAGAGACAAGAACAAAGCACTGTGATGAGGCAGAGGAAAAAGTATTAATTCAGAGTGGAATGGGGTTTGAGGTGTCAGGGAGGCCTTCCCTGAGTTGAACTTACTCTAAGTTATGAAGTTTGAGGAGCCTTCTAGAACAGAGCTGTCCCACAGAAACACAACACCAGCCACATGTGTAATGTTACATTTTCTACTGTAGTCTCTGTGTAGTAGGCAGTTAGACAGGCATGAGCAGACTAGGAGCCATAGGCCAGGTATGGAATGTCACCAGGGCGGAAATCCCAGGGTACCTAGCAACCAGCAAAACTAGGAAAACAGGGACCTTACCCCAGGGTGACCTTTCCTCCCCTATTGAGCCTTTCATTTCTCACTAGTCATGAGGCAGACACCCCCCCTCCCCTTAGAGGAGGAACAAGCGGGGCGGAGAGTAGTCTCATATGACTCTTTGCACAACCACTTCTTAAGCATTAAGTCCTCTGGACAATGAGGTTCTGGCACATATCAAATGATTTTGGAAGCACAGCCTCAGGTGTGTTGACCACAGAGACAGAGTTTTGGTTAAACTGGAGATAACAGCTAGGACTCAGCTCCAGGCCCAGAAAAGCAGTAAGGCCAGGAGGGGCAACACATGGCTGACATTAGGACCAGCTTTGATGGCTACTGACCCCCGGTCCTGGCACCTACCAACCATGACCCTGAAAGGACACACCTGGAAAAGCTTATGAATATTCTATTGAGATCCTCCCTAAGACCTCCCCTAAGAGCCCTGCCTTTAAAGAGGGGATAAAAACCCTTGGATGGAGGACCCAACTCTCTCTTTCTCCCTCTTACCCAGCCTCCCTCCCTCTCTCTCTCTCTTTCTTGAGCCTATCAGGGCCTTTCCCCACCCCCTTCTATCCCCAGTGCATGCTCTCTGGGCAACACATCCGAGCCTTTCCCCCTCTCCTTCCCCAAGGTGCATTCTCTCTGCCTTTGTTTTTCCTAAGCTCCAAGGGCCCTTCTTTTGCCTCTGTAACTTGTTTCCTGAGCCCACACAGCCCAGCTGGCTCACTTCTTCCACTTCTACCTCTGTGACTTTCTAGATAAACTTCTGCTTGTATTTAAGTCTTGGCCCTGAATTCTTTATTAGCCAGAACTCAAGTACTAAGGTTGCTGAACTGAGGTCCATTTGCCAGTAACATTCTGGCGTTGTTTCTCAGCTAACAGCAACATTTTAAGAAAACTAAAAACAAGAAATGAAATTTTAATGACATAGCTCCTTGAACACAATAGATAAAAATATTACCAGTTCAACATGTAATAATACAAATAATTATTAATGAGATATTTTACTTTTTTTTAAAGTCTGAAATCTGGGGTGTGGTTTACACCATAACCTGCCTCAACACAGACTAGCCACATTTCAAGTGCACAATAGCTACACGTGGCCTGTGGCTACCATAAATATTTTTTCTGGAAAGGGGGCGGTAGGCCAAATAAGTTTGGGAACCACTGGTTTACACCATAACCCGTCTCAACACAGACTAGCCACATTTCAAGAGCACAATAGCTACAAGTGGCCTGTGGCGACCATATTGGCCAGAAAGACAAGGTGGAGGGGGTGGTACTCAGCCAGGAGAAGGGCAGGGGGCAAAAGCAGAGGACAGGAAACAGCCCAGTCTTGGGGATTCTCAGAGCACATGTCTCAAGCAAGGGAACCTGGACCTTGTGCTGTTACTTTGTGAAGGTTATACTGTAGAAGCCGGTGCAAGACAGAGTTTACCAGGAAGGGCCTAGAAGCCTAACTCTAATGTGCCTCAGTTTCCTCAGTAGTTAAATGAGGCCGTTTCACAGAAATACTACAGTAAAGAGAAACAAAGGCATTTTAAAGACGCTTTGCAATTTTTGTAAGTGAATATAAATACCATGCTAATGTTTAATGCCAAAGACTTTTCTATTTGGAAGAATTTGTTTGAGGTAAGGTGATACAGGGACATACCCTGCTTCTGTGTGGGGCTGCAATCCCTTGGCATGGCTAAGAACTTCTAGAAACAGGAACTCATAGTATTTGAAACTCTGAGGCCTGAAATGCTTGTTGTGCTAAAACTCTCTCTGATTTTAATATTTAGAGATCTGTCTCCAGAGTTAAAAGCAAGGGAAGGTTTCAAGCTAAAGGTCTGAAGGAAATGTATTTGAAGAGAAAGCATGAATGTCTTCAATCCATAAACAGGACAAGAAAACTGAGAAGGAACTATCTTAGGAACCAGGGTATATATTTTGTCGTTAAATTTCTCAATACTACTAGTAAGATTTGTTTCCTCTGTGCTTACAAATTTTGTAATTAAAAATTTCCTTCCCCAAAATGAAAACAAAACAAACCCCAAGACCATGCGCAGACTTCGCATTTTGTAAAGCTTCTATCTCAAAAGAGCAACGCAGAGCTTAATATCAGAAGCACATGGTATACTGCCACCCAAGCCGGCCCACTTTATACCACAGGCCAACCCAAACGAACAACATGGCTAACAGAATAGTTCCCATTTTCCTGTAACATAATCACCCCTTTTCATGACTCTGCAGCTTTCTCCGATAGGAGTGCAGATGGTATTTCAAAAGATGGGAAATATTCCACCCCGTGGAGACCACAGCTTTTTTATGTTCTTTGTTTAATGCCGAGAGAGAGAGAGACAGAGAGAGAGAGAGAGAGCGCGCTTTCATTTCCTCTAAATCAGAACATACAAATGTGATAGATACATTTTTTCTTTTCACGTTGAATTACAAAATGAGATAAAATTTTGAAAATAAAATCAGTAGTAAAAAGAAAAGGCTACCTGTACTTTAATTGACTTAGAAATAAATAATATAGAGCTTTTAAAAACCTCTTAATGTGGATGAGTAAATGAAAACATCGAATTGCCTAGAGCAGCGGTTCTAAACCGGTGGGTCGAGACCCCTTTGGGGGTCGAACGACCCTTTCACAGGGGTCGCCTAAGACCATCGGAAAACACATATATAATTACATATTGTTTTTGTGATTAATCACTATGCTTTAATTATGTTCAATTTGTAACAATGCAATTGGGGGTCACCACAACATGAGGAACTGTATTAAAGGGTCGCGGCATTAGGAAGGTTGAGAACCACTGGCCTAGAGGCATTGAGAAGGAAGAGTCTGAGCTCCTAGGACTTCACAGAGCTATTCCTTTAAGTACAATGTCAATATTTGATGTCTTTTCTTTAGCCAAGTACTCCAAAGAAAAATAAATATTTTTCATGGCTGTTAAAACTGACCCTGCTGGAAGGAAAGTAAACAGAAACTGATGTTTCCCGACATTTTCCCAGCCTCCTTTCATACCATTCTTTTCCCTCAATATTGTTTTTATCTAACCTGACCAAGTTGAGACATATTCTCAATGATTTACACTTTTCTTCCAATGGTTCGTCTGAAGTATATGGAAACCTGGCCGTTAACCTTTGCTTTTTTCATGCTTTTTTTTTGCTGGGGGGCAGGTAGGGGAAGGTGTCAAGCTTGTAAGGACACTAACAGATGTGAAAAGGATACTGGGGATGACAGCTGCGCAGGAAATGAAAGAGATGGTCATCCGTACGCGGCAGGTGGAGAGGGTGTTCCACTGGGGACATGACTTGTAGGAGATGATGGATTGCAGGAGTGTGTACACCACACCGCAGACAAAGGCCAGAAGGGCACCGCCATCATGGACCACAGGGACCGCTAACTCCTAGGGAGAAAGACACATGTATGCGTTATTCCAAGTGGGTCTGTCCACACCGTGATCTGAGCACTCCCTCCTCTGGGCTATTGGAAGCCATCCATTGTCACAGATGACCCCAAATCGAAAAGATGGTCCTTGCTGGTTTGGCTCAGTGGCTTGTGGACTGAAGGGTCCGGGGTTTGGTTCCCAGTCAGGGCACATGCCTCAGTGGCTTGTGGACTGAAGGGTCCGGGGTTTGGTTCCCAGTCAGAGCACATGCCTGGGTTACAGGCTCAAGCCCCAGTGTGGGGCCTGCAGGAAGCAGTCAATCAATGATTCTCTCTTATCATTGATGTTTCTCTCTCTCCCTCTCCCTTCCTCTCTGAAATCAATAAAAATATACTTTTTAAAAAGAAAGAAAATGTGGCTGCTTGCACAAGATTACCAAGAGAAAAGCCTTCCCCCACAATGAAGTAAATGTTCTACAGCAAGCTTGGGCATGAGGGATGAGGACAGAGTGACGTCTACCTTCGAGGGGCAAAGTGGGGTATGGTGGGCTGTGGAGTCTGGCTAACCTGAGTAAAAAAATCTTGACTCCACCACTGGGCTTTCGGACCTTAGTTTAAAACCTCAATTTCTGATCTGTCAAATGGGTGTATTCATTTCTGCCTTGCAGGTCTGCAATGCAACTTATTTGATAAACTGCATACAAAATTATGCAAAAGTGCCAAGGGTGCTTGGGGTTTTTAGGCTCCCTGCTCCCCACTAATCTCTATTTGTCCCTCCCAAGCTACCCCAAATCTAAAAAACTGCTCTTGCAATGCTAAGACAACTTCAAATCAAGTCCCTGGCCCCCAGTCATTTCAACAAGAAGGCAGCCCCTATATCCAGTCTAGGCAGAAAGCCTGGTGTTACCCCAAATGTGGTCATAGGGAGCCATCATAAAGCTCATTTTAAGCTCCTTTCAAATGTTCAATGGGCACCTACCTTCCGGCATAACAATGACATTTAGATTGAATGACTGAGTCCCTACTTGAACTTATAATTTTGAGTTTTGCAAAGGGGCAGGTTAAAGTATTGTCCACGAAAGCCTAATTTTGGCCACAACTCATTGTCCACATCTGTTTTCCAGACTTTTCTTTAACCACCCAGGTTTCCATAGCCCCACTGTGTTCTTCATCCAGACTGTTCACACAAAAAAACATACTGCATCGACCTATGAACCAGGAGGTCACGGTTCAATTCCCAATCAGGGCACATGCCCGGGTTGTGGGCTCAATCCCTAGTGCGGGGCATGTGGGGAGAACCAATCAGTGATTCTCTGTCATCTTTGAATCTCTCTCTTCTTTACTCTCTGAAATCAATAAAAATATATTTAAATAAAGTTAACAAAATAAAAATAAAAGGTAAAAACTTTTCAGTTATATATAATGTTCAGCATGGTGACTATATTGAATAAAGGTGTATGTATTTCCAAAAGCTGCTAAGGAAATAATTTTTTTTTTCAGAGAGAGTAAATCTTAAAAATGCTCCTCACAAGAAAAAAGTAACTATAAGAGGTGATAAATGTTAACTAAACTTACTGTTTAATCATTTCACAATATATACATATATCGAATCAGTATATTATATATCTTGCACTAATACAATGTAATGTGTCAATGGTATCTCAATAAAACTAGGGAGAAAGCAATATTAAACAAAAAAAAAGAGTAAAAAGAAAAATTAAGAAAAAAAAGTCTTTTTCACTCCTTGAATGTTAGTTAGGCACATTTGGTCAAGGGAAAATAAACAAAAAAGCAAGGCAACTACTGCTGAGTCATTTCCAGGAATAATCTTCTGAGAATCCTGGTTCTTTCCACTCCACTTTTTTTTCCACGCTAAGTCAACATTCTGAATTTACGTACTTTTTCCCTCCCACCAGCACTGTCAGGGGATTTGCTTCCTCAGCCTGGCCCACGTCAACACTCCTTTAGGATCTTAATCTGCAAACTGCACAGGCCCCACGTTAACCCTGACAGTTCCAGATCACAGAGCTGTATTTGGCCTGTGGAGCACAAACTCTCTTATCAAAAATGCCTTTTGAAGGGAAATGATTCTTAGATCGGACATGAATCTTGGACTGAGGATAAGATGAGCACCTGGTGCCCTTTTGACATCTCTTTTGCAAAACTCTCTGGTTAATTGAAAACGGAGTAAAAAGAGAGGAAACTAGGATATTGAGAATGTTCAACCTTAGAAAACATGACTTTTCAAAAAGGAAACTTCTCGAGGAAAAGTACAGCAGAGGCAGAAACTGGTGAGGACATACCTAAACGTAGCCATCCCACCCACCAGTCCAGGAAAGGGAGCTATCTGTGAGCTTCTGATAAACACAATATACTTCCTGCTCAGGAAAATCCCACCAGAACCAAGGCTCCCTCCTGCCCTCACATCTCTCCTTCTTCTCAAGGTAACAGCTCAAGTTGGTTTGCTCATGGCCTGCCGAAATGAATTACAGGATGTCAAACAAGGAAGTTGTCAAGATGGGAACAATGACAAGGCAAACACTTTGCTCTCAGGAAAGTTACCTATTCTATTTCTGGGTTTTGATAAAATGTAATCTCGTCATGAGTCCAATTATCTAACCATCTAAGTTTTCTTCCGAAAGTCTGCCCTTTGTGGCTTAAAAATTGGCAGGTGTATCACTAACAATGTTGAGTGATTTGGAGAATAAAGTAATTAGGATATCAGACAGTGCCTACTACCCCCCACTGAACAATTCCTATCCACACCTACTAGACAAAGGATATCATTCTAGGTGTCCCCCCCCCCTTTTTTTCATCATGCTTTCTGATGCTGCAACTCTGTGACATGCTTTTTTCTCCCAGAGATATTCTCATTGTAACATTGAGATTACCTCTTTCCCACAGGTTCAGGACAGACTGCTTCAATGCAAGGGCCACTTCTACCATTCCTACTCCTATGATCTTGGGTAAGTATTCACCTCTCTGGGCCTCCACTTCTCCATTGAGAATGAGGAAAATTATACTACCTGTCTTCGAAGGTTGTCATTAGAATTGTCTGAGTTAGAGCAGTGAATGCTGTCATAAGTATGTCACATAGAAAATTTCCAGTACATGTTCTGGGAAACAAAATGAATATGATCATAAAACATAAGGAAATGTCACAGAGTCTCTACCATGTGGGAAATGTCATGGGCAACCGTGCATTGCAGCACAGAGTATCTGATTTCACCACAGGGGAACGACAGGAGAAGGAAGTGAGCTCTCGCTCTTCCCCCTCACCTCTCTCTCTCTCTATCTCTCTGCACCAGCTATTTTCAACTGGCGTGCTGTGCAGAATTTTTAAAACATGCAATACCTGTCTATTTAGCCAGGGGCACTGACTTCTTTTCCGTTAGATTGTAAAATTTTTTTTAAAAGTTACCAACCAACACAATGATAGCCATCCAATGTGAATGAATCAAAAGTATACCTATATTTTTTATCAGATTGGCAAAAAGAATTTAGTAATTAATTTGTGTGCCATAAGATGAAAAAGGTTGAAAATCACTGCTCTACACCATAGAGACCTAGTCTTTCCTCTAATAATCAAGGAACTCTAGTGCACTGCTGGTGGGAATGCAGATTGATACAGCCACTATGGAAAACAGTATGTAGTTTCCTCAAAAAATTAAAAATGGAGCTGCCATTTGACCCAGTTATCCCACTCCTAGGAATATATCCTGAGAAGCCTGAAACACCCATCAGAAATAATGTATGCACCCCTATGCTCATAGCAGCATTACTTACAATAGCTAAGATCAAGTGCCCATCAGTAGATGAGTGGATAAAAAAGCTGTAGCACATTTACTCAAAGGAATACTATGCAGCTCTCAAAGAGAAGAATCTCTTAACTGTTGAGACAGTATGGAGAGACCTGGACAGTATTATGCTGAGTGAAATAAGCCAGTCAGAGAAAGACAAGTATCACATGATCTCACTCATATGTGGAATCTAATGAACAAAATAATATGACATGGAAGCATGCAACAGCATGAGGATTCTCAGAAGGAAGAGATCAACCAAAACTTTTATATGCATGTATGCATAACCCATGGACATGGACAATAGTGGGGAGAAAGCCTGGGGAGAGGAAGGAAGTGGAGAGGAGGGGGTCAATGGGAGAAAAAAAAGAGGACATCTGTAACGCTTTCAACAATAAAGATACATTTAAAAATAACACATTAAAAATAATAATAATAATAAATAAAGTTAAATTAAATTAAATTGGAGTACCCCTGGCTGAACAAAAAGTTGTCCTGGAGTAACTTCCTTTCTGCTGTCACAGGAGACAACAGTGATGGAGAGAGCGGGCCATCCTAGTGTTAGCCTGTAATGATGAACCCATGATGACATGATGACCCCCAAGTACAGACCACTGGCTACCATACATTATCTCACCCAATCCTTGCAATAATTCTAGGAGCTGGGTACTATTATAATTAGGACTAATTTAAACACAACAAATGTTTTTAAAATATTAAACATTGTCTCCGTAGTTAAGTAGGTCCCATGTTTTCTTGAAAGAGATCTCAGAATGAATAGGAATCCACAAATTAGAAAAACAAGTAGAGTGTTTTCTGAACACCTGACACCATAAGATAAGATCGAGCAGATTCCTCAGTAGTCGTCATGTAAGTTAATTGGCTCTAGCTGGGCTACATTTTGGCTCGGCAACTATTTAGCTAAGGAACCCTGAGCAAATTATTTCACTTCCAGGCACCTATAGCCTATTCTGGGAAAGGAAGAGATCAGGTGCCACTGTTTGACTTTAACACCAGAGGTTCAAACCGTAAAATCAGTACACACACACAGACACACGCATACTCATACACAAATGTTTTCACACTTAGTGAAGTCATCACAGTGGCTGAAGTCATTCTCCCAACACATCAACCACATCACTGAGAACATGGAGCATTGTAAAGCCTACAGCTTCACTCAAAGCACTCTCTCTCTGTCTCATAATCATGTACACATATCCCCCATCACTCCCAAACACCAGATGGGACTGTATTTAAATGGTATTTGTTTCTAAAAAGCAAATTAACCCATTTTAATAAATGCATCAACTATTTGATAGCTAGACTGGCACAAGCTTGACTCTTGTATTCTTGCTTCTCTCTTCCGGACTCACAAACTCTAACACCCCAATATCCAAAAAACTTCAGGCCATACCTGAAAATTGGCAACAATGCCCATTCCGATACATCCCACCAATCCCAGAACTAAGGACACCAGGTTAAAGACAGGAGTGCTGAAGTAGCTGGTTTGATTCTGCTTTTCCACTATTTTGTATCTTGTGTACATCGTGGCTGCACCTGAGAAAGAAAGGTACAGTAGTGAATTTTTTTTATCTGACTGTTTTAAAGGAAAAACACAGAAACAGTTTCATATTGCTTTTTTTAAAGTTTGTATTTTCACTTTCCTAATTGCAATAGTCTCCCGATATGCCCAACCTGTCCTTCCTCACCCCATCTTGCTCTTCCCCCAGTGTGGTGGGGATACACACACACACACACACACACACACACACACACACACACGCCTTCTTGGCTGTTATTCTTTTCACATAAACGCTATTGTGCACATATTGTTCTGTGACTTGCTTTTTTTTTCACTTAAAAATGTGCCATGGAGATCTTGCCATGTCAGTAAAATAGGTCTATCTCATCATGTTTAGGGGTCCCATCTTGGTATATAGTGAGATGCCACATTTATTTCATTCTCCTCCTAATGACAGATTTCGACATTGTTTCTGTGTATTTCCTATTCCAAGCAATGTTCAATGAACATCCTTGTCTTTGGCACACTTTCAGTGCTTCTGAAAGACAAATTCCTAGAAGTGGTATTACTGGGTCAAAAAATTGTGCCTAAAATGCCAAGTATCTCAAAATTGTTCCGAGACTGAAGCGATTTATACTCCCAGAGCAAAGCTTGAAAGCAATTCTGTATGTCTGTGCCTTTTTAATGATTGCCAATCTAATAAATGAAAAATAGCCACCTGTTGGTTTACTTTGCATTTCTCTGATCATTAGTGAAATTAAGCAAATTTCAGTATGCCTACTGTCATTTGCATGTCTTCTTATGAAAATTGCATGTTTACAATGCTTTTGTATTTTCTCTTGAGTTGATCTATTCATTTTTTAAAATATATATATTTTTATTTCAGAGAGGAAGGGAGAGGGAGAGATAGAAACATCAATAATGAGAGAGAATCATTGATCGGCTGCCTTCTGCACACCCCCTACTGGGCCTGAGCCCACAACCCGGGCATGTGACCTGACTGGGAATCAAACCGTGACCTTCTGGTTCATAGGTCAACACTCAACCACAGAACCACACCAGCCGTGCGGTCTATTCATTTTTAATTTGTAGCTACTTTTTATACATTATGTACATTAGTCTATTGTCTGCTCTAATAAATATTACAAGTTTTCTTCTGCTTCTGTGTTTGTCTTTAATTCTGTTTCTTGTATCTCTTATCACTCAGAAGTTTTCATTTTCTATCTACTCAAAAATGTCAATTTGATGATTAAAGAACTAATCACAAGCCTGTCACATAGTAGGCACTTAGTCAAGGAATGCTGAATAAATGGATAGCTATCAAAATTTTAGATCTTTGTTCCCTTTAATTCAATAAATTTATCTTATAGAGAAACTCATGTATATATTATGCAAAGATATATTTAAAAGGATATTAATTTTAGCATTTTAAATTCCAAAATCAGAAATAGCCTAAGTATTTAACAAAGGGGACTAACTAAATAAATTATAATACATCCATGAGCTCAAGATCATGCATGTGTTAAAAGAATAAAGTAGATCTCTATGTATTGAAATAGTGTAATGGCCATAATATTTGTGCTGAATTTTAAAAACATGCCTGACCAGCATGGCTCAGTGGTTGAGCGTCAACCTATGAACTAGGAGGTCACAATTCGATTCCCAGTCAGGGCACATGCCCGGGTTACCGGCTCAGTCCTGGTATGGGGCAGCTGATCAATGATTATCTCTCATCATTGATGTTTCTATCTTTCCCTCTCCCTTCCTCTCTGAAATCAATAAAAATATATTTAAAAAAAAAAAAGGCTAAAAGCTAATCATTTATCATAAACTTTTAAACAAAGACATTCGTGTCAAATTCTGCCTTGCCTAAAAGCAAAAATCATATTTATCGCTGCTGACAAAATAACCTGTCTTTTTAATTGGGACTCTGGGCAAGGATGGTGTAAGAGAGCACTTGGATTGATGGACTGTGTCTACCTCCCCTTGCTCACCTCCAAAACCTTGGGTGGGGAAGACCACAAATGGTTGACGGGGTGAAACTTTCTCTCTGCCAAGGATAAAACATGTTCCAAAGGTGCCAAGTCTCTAAGTAGAGTTTCCAGCACCTCTGTCCCCTCCCACCTGTACCAGTAGAGAGGGACGGAAGTGTCCCTGGCAAACACCTGCTTGTTCCGTAGGGTAGGCGCTTTTAAAAGGACTGAGAGAGAGAGAGCTCTCTATGTTACATCTGCAGACCAGAATCACTCCCTAGTAGTGAGCTTTTCCGTTATTACATTAATTACTCATGAGAGGATTGTATCCTATCAACTGCACCTCAGGGGCACTTGTGGGACTGAAAAGGAAAATCATGCCTTAGTTGGAGACAAACTGCCCTGCTTCCCCTCCCCCCTCTCTCTAACAGGTGAGACAACACCTTAGTCAGAGGTTCCCAAGCTTTAGGGAGAATCCAGCTCCCCTAAACTGCTGGTTCACAACGCATGCCCTTGGGCCCCACTCCCAGAGGTGCTGATGGAGTCCATCTGTGGTATAGCCCTGGGACCTGCATTTTAACCAGCACCCCAGCTGCTTTTCATGGAAGCTGCCTTCGGAACATGCTCTGAGAAACATGAGTTTATATATTAGGTGTCTTTGGCTTACACCAATGTATTGTATATAAATCACAATTTTAAAAATCAAATTACATTTAAAATTCATTTCATAATCTCATGGTAAACTGCCAGGAAAGTTGAAGAATAGTTCTATGAGGTCATAAATAACTCTGGAGTTCAAGTCATATTAGTTTTTCAAAGTAGAGCAAAATTCCAGTTGCTTGGACCAATAGAGAGGGACAGGCAAAACAGTTGTACTTTTATTTATTTTTAATGTTTTTGTTTTTTTAAATATATATTTATTGATTTCAGAGAGGGAGAGAGAGATAGAAACATCAGTGATGAGAGAGAATCATTGATCCACTGCCTCTTGCCCGCCCCACACTGGAGGCAGAGCCCACAACCTGGGCATGTGCCCCAACCAGGAATCGAACCATGCCTCCTGGTTCATAGGTTGACGCTCAACCACCGAGCTGCCACGGCCAGGCAAAAAGGTTATACTTTAAAAAAATGACACATACCAAGAATGAACCTGATATAAACTATGGACTTTGTGTCAATGTAGGCTCATCAAAAAATTGGTAATGGGGGATATGGAGCAGGCACTGTATGGGATATCTCCACCTTTGGATTAATTTTTCTGTGAGCCTAAAACTGTTCTAAAAATAAAAAGTCTGATTTAAAATAACAATAAAAAGTTATATACACACGCTGTCAATAACATATTTTCCTTCACATGGGATTGCGAATTTTTCATTTATTGATAATAATTTTTGTGTACTTACCAAGAAATGCAGAGAAGTTTATCATGAATCCAAAAATACCACTCTCTGGAGGTGTTGTTCCTGTATCACTGAGAAAGAGAAGAAATACTCAATTATTACAAAGGAATCCAGTTCAGACCTCTGGATAGGCATGATCTGGCAGGTTTCATGATGTGTTTCTTCTGGGTCTTTAGTCACTTTGAATTGCAAAGATTTGTCCTGATTTTGTTCTAAAGTGTTTTAATTCTGGCCCTAAAAAAATCTAAAATTCTTTTTTTTCTACCTTTTTTTATTTTAATTGCAAAAAAATAAGAAATACTGAAAGTGAATGGTGGTGGTATTTCTGAAATAATCCAGCTCGATAAACTTGATGGATATGTGTCCATTCTTAGTGAAGAACTGAATGTAACTATTTTGGAGGGGTGGGTATGATGGTCTAAAATCACATTTGAAATATCTATATCATTGGGATATTAAATACACATAAACACATTATATTTTTTAACAATTTGATTTATGCACAAGTTTACAGTGCTGTAAATATAAGGATGAAAAACTGAGCAATATTATCGATACCTATCACTACTTTATGGAAACAATAGTGTACTTAGGGTGTATAGTAATTGTGATAAATTACTTTAATAAGAAAATTATCTCTATAAAACACTTTTCAGGCGCAGTCTACCAATTCAGTAATTAAATGAGCTGGAAAGTCGTGTTTGGCAGTTGTTTTCTTTTACCTTTTTTCCAGGTGATTTTGAGAGTACATTTATTGAAGCTAGGGACAGTGACGCAAGAAAGGGCTTAGGATAAAAGAAGCAACAGGAGAGAGCCTCGGCGGGGCTGCTGTGGCTCTCTAGAAACCAATGGGAAAGAAGTGAGTCGAGGTGCGACTGCTGTCAGCTCACTGGAGAGTCAGAGAAAAGGGGGCCTTGGCGACAAGCTCCGGGGGTTAGATCGGGACAAGCTGCTGCTGCCCATTGCTCCCCTGGTTGCAAGTCCTTTGGGAACCGTTAGAGTTTAGGAGATGCACACCTGACAGGGAAGAAAAACATGGACAACAGGTTCTGTTTTCTTTTTATATGTTTTTATTGACTTCAAAGAGAGGAAGAGAGAGAGAGAGAGAGAGAGATTAGTGATGAGAGAGGATCATTGATCAGCTGCCTCCTGCACATCTCCTGACCAGGAATCAAACTGTGACCTCCTGGTTTGTGGGTCAACACTCAACCACTGAGCCACACCGGCTGGGTGAAAGGTTCTGTTTTCTACTGATCAATGCCAAGGTTTGAATTTTTACATTGTCAAGCTGCCCACGTAAAGCAACAGTTGAAAACTGATGGCAAAAGAGCTCCCAAGATGAAACAACTCGTACCCATCTTGAGTGTCCCCATGTTTTAAAACAGGTCTGAAATTAAGGATTGAAAGAGGGATCACATTGAAGAGACACACTTCAAAGTGTTTGAAGAACTCCACAGGAAGCCTGTGTGTGCGGAAAGCAGAAGCCTTTGTAAACACTCAATATTTGAAGAGTAGAGCTTGCCCTGCAGCTGGCACTCTGGTGTCTCAGCCTTGCCCAAGGCCCAGCCTCACTAGGTCCCAGCCCCTCTGGAGTTCCAGCTCCGCCACCTTCCCATGGTCCCACAGGCCTACGGGGAGCCTGGCTGCTGCTGCTGGACCTGAGGCTATGGGTCTCCTGGGCATCCTCCCATTGAGGAGGAAGACCCAGCCTTCTGGAACTACTACGCAGCCCAGACCCTGGACATCGCCGAGAAGCTGCAGCCCACCCAGATGGCTGCCAAGAACCTCATTATCTTCTTGGGGGATGGGATGGGGGTGTCCACGGTGACAGCAGCTCGGATCTTAAAGGAACAGATGAATGGCAAGCTAGGACCTGGGATAACCCCTGGCCATAGATCAATTCCCATACATGGCTCCGGCCAAGACATGCAACATGAACAAACACTGCCACAGCCTACCTGTGTGGGGTCAAGACCAACTACCAGACCATTGGTGTGAGTGGGGCAGCCCGATGTAACCAGTACAACCAATAAATGGTAGTGAGGTCACCTCTGTGATGAACTGGGCCAAGAAAGCCAGGAAGTCAGTGGAGGTAGGAGTTGGGTTGGGAGGCTTGACTTCCCTGTGAGAATGAATTTTCTAGCAAAAGTTAAGCCCAAAGATAGAGCTGTCACTGCCTTCTTCTCATTACTGGTTCCTGTCCCCTCCTCGTGCCCACTAAGCACCCTGCTGTGCTCAGAAGGGCATCTACCTCGGGTCACCAAAAGTGAAGATGTGGGAGTGTTCAGTGGTGTCCTCATTTGTGAGCTGGCTGGCGCTGTCCATGGCATCATTGAAACTGATGGTCTCACGCCTGGCCAGTGTGGCCGTCAGCCTATGAACCAGAAGGTTACTATTGATTCCAGGTCAGGGCATATGCCTGGGTTGCGGGCTCGATCCCAATGAGGGTTGTGCAAGAGGCAGCTGATCAATAATTCTCTCTCATCATTGATGTTTTCTATCTATCTTTCCCTCTTCCTCTCTGAAATTAAAAAAGAAAGAAAGGAAGGAAGGAAGGAAGGAAGGAAGGGAGGGAGGGAGGGAGGGAG